ATCATTCAACTACAAACATCAACATATCTTCTGAGTTTCTGGATATTTAATCAATTTCTTTAGGGTTCTAACTGATCCATGGAGTCTGCCGGAGGTAGCAATCATCAGAATCATGGAAGAGAGGTTTTGGTAATGGTTGAAGGTGCAGCGGTSTGTTTTTTGTGTGAARCAAGTTTCGGATCCATAAAACAYGTTTATACTCACATTACGGCTGATCACTCCGATAGTGAATGGAAGGCGTTTCTTGGTGTGCAGAACACGACCACCATCAACGTCGGTGGAAACGGGCAGAATCTTGAGCCTAAGGTGGTTGATATCCCAAGGAAAGATTTACTTGGGTGCAGGCTGGTGAAGGGCAGGAGAGGTCGTCTGGGGTTAAAAAAAGTGAATGGTAAGATTGATAATGAGTTAAAAGAACTGGTGGAGTTTCTGCTGCTCCTGGCTAATGCTCCTCCGGCACCGCCTAAGGAGGTCGACGCCCAGACGAAGATAGAAGATTTTACGACCGGTGGATGCATGGTGGGTCATGATCGTCCGTCTATGGCTGAACCAACTGTTGCACTTGAAATACAGGCTCAAGATTCCGATATCAAGGGTGAATGCGTGGTGGATCATGGTCATCCGTCTATGGCTGAACCTATACAGGCTGCAGATGCAGATTTCAAGGGYGCTTACATGGTGGTTCATGATTTTGATCTGAATGAAGAACCTTCTTCCACCGCCATGGAAGATGAAGATGGAAGCATGCGGACACAGCAATGAGATCCGTTGTTAGCATTTTTATGTAATGTAAAGTGATCCATCAGAGGTTTTGGTTTATAACTTTAYATGCCCTTCGTATAATTTTTATTAAATATAATGAAAACCAACGTGTGAATAAACTGTTTAYATTGATTAGGTTTCAAACCGTTTGAAACTTTACTATGTTTCGTTTACTTAAAAATCGACATAAGGGCTTTAATTTCTATCCCCTCGGTGCAGCGAAAACCCTAAATCAAYGGTATTTGATCTCGATTACTTTGATCGTTTGCGTTTTAAATTCTCTAAAGGGATGGTATTCGATCTCCCTTGTGTCGAATTACCTTAAAACCTCTCTCCTCTATACATTTCTAAAACAAAATGGTGCTTGCTGTCTCAAAATCACTAATCATCCACACAAAAAAAAAGCAACCAAAAACAAGTAGCAGAACTACACTGAACTACACTCCCCCATCATTAGCAGACACCATCCACCACTTTTGAGAAAACCAAAGTGTTGCCGCCATAAGAAGAGTTCCACGAGCAACATTGAAGCACCTAAAAAGCCWAACAAAATTGRGCCTTGCAAARGAGCCTCAAGAACGCCCCTCAACCAGACAGAAGAGCCACCAACAAGAAGACAGATCCAAAGCATAATAACCGAACAGTATAGAAAGAGCCAACCGGAACTCACGAGCAACAAGGAAGATGGATGGATAAATGGTTTGGTAACGAGAGGGTATATTATTAGTGTGGTATAAATTTATGGGTCGTTTACTAAACACTTACCTTGGTAAGCACTTGCCAGTTCAATTACCTTACAGATAAACATAACAAGGAGCGATAATCTTACCCGGTAAGAGGAAAGGCAAAGATCAAAAGTTTTACCCGGTAAATGAGGGTGAAGACTTTTACCCGATAAACGTTTACCGGATTATAAACGCAAACCATCAATCCATTTTGATGGACGGAAATGTTCCCCATAAGGTAAGTGAAAATGGTGACATTTTGACAGCGTCGATGTTTGCTGTCAAAGATGGTTCTTTTCCGCTTTCTTACTTGGGCATCCCTATCGGTTCCTTTGTGTCTAAAATCTCGACTTGGAAGCCATTGGTTGATAAGTTCGGTAACAAGCTTTCTACATGGAAAAGAAAGGTGCTATCCGGAGGGGGTAGATTAACTCTTTGTAAATCGGTGCTTGGAAGCCTTGGGGTGTATCTCTTCTCCATTTATTTGGCTCCTATATCTGTTTTAAAGACCTTGGAGAATCATAGAAGAAAGTTTATGTGGGGTACTGATCCTGATAATGCGAAAATTACCTGGGTAGCGTGGGAGAAATCGTTAAACAGCTTGTCTAACGGTGGTCTTGGGATTGGTAGCCTCATAGCCCAAAACCTTAATTGTATTACTTGCGAAATGGTGGTGGAGATTTAGAACTGAGGATACGGCGTTGTGGAAGAGAGTGATCACATCTCTATACGGTGCGAGTGGAGGTCTTGCCCCAGACGATCGGCCGGTTAGGCTCAACGGGGCCTGGAGCCAAATTATCAAAGTAAGCGATCACATTTCTAAGTTCAATTTAGACTTGAATGCGGCTTTTTCTAATGTCATAGGCGAGGGTCGAAATGCTAAATTTTGGACCGAAGCTTGGTGTTCTAGCAGCCCTTTATCCTCTTCTTTCCCTAGATTGGCATCGCTCGAGACAAATCCGAACTGTTTGATTTCTGATAGAATCTGTAGATCTGAAAACGATCTTACCTTCTTGTGGAACTGGAGAAGGCCGATTCGCGACGGCCAGAAACAACGGGACTTGATCTCGATCATATCCCTATGTGAGAATTTCAAATTTGGCTCTTGCGACAAATGGAGATGCGAATTGGATAAATCAGGAGTGTTCTCGGTGGCCCCGTTGCGGAAAGCGATTGATAGCATGGCGCTTAGAAGGTGTGGTCCTCCTACGTTGTGGTTAAAAACGGTGCCCACGAAATTTAGAATATTCATCTGGCGGGCGAGACTCGATAGGTTGCCTATGAAAGTTAATCTGATTAAAAGAGGGGTTCATTTAGAAGACGATCTTTGTCCTCTATGCAAGGAGTACCCAGAAACAATCAGCCACATTTTGCTTGACTGCAGGAAAGCTGTGAATGTGAGACGTAATATAAAATATTGGGCTGATTGGATTCCCGATTCAGTTAGTTCTATTGCTGATTGGTTAGTCCCCCGAACTCAGACAGCTCTAAGGTGATCATAAGGAGTTGTATTGTTCACGCTTTGTTGTGGTTTGTCTGGAGTGCTAGGAATTCGGTGATTTTCAACAAAAGGATTTTCAATCCGCTCGTAACGGCTAATTTGATTCAATCTTCCACGTTCATTTGGTTTAAGCATCGTTGTAAATTTGGTAGATCGGTGTCTCGGAATGATTGGAGTTGTAACTTGAACGTGTTGTAATCTGTTTTGTTACTCGCCTTTATATATTGCCGTTTCAAGAAAAAAAAAAGTGAAAATGGTGACATTTATTGCTAAACGCTTACCCGATAAACATTTGATAAACTGCCTAGTCCTAGTGTATGTATCTACTAATTATGGCTGGAATGAGACTTTGCCAAGTTATCTTTGATGAACAAGTGTGGTTGTTCTTTATTAGTTATGTAACATAACCATGTTGATGTATGTGAGCAAATTTCATTTGGTTGGAATAAACTGCATGTTATTAATGTAAAATTTAACGACACACAATGTCTATTTTACCTTCACAAAATAACGAGACACTGATTGCATAAAGTTATGAAACTAAGAGGGCTTCCAATAGCTTTTTGCAGAAGTCTAGGGTCTATAAGACAAAATTGTTGTAATATTTTTACCAAACAGATACTTCTTTGACGACTTCTCTGCATTTGTTGTCTCTCTCCTATATTCTGTCGCCATTTTCGTCCCTCGTATGCAAACTTCTTCTCTAAATTGTCTCCGAATTACACTCTTCCGATGATGGTTTAGTCAGGTGGAGCTTGCTTTTGCTTTCACAGTAAGTCAATTATTCGGTTTCTTCTGATTTTGATTTTCATTTTTTTTCGTCATTATATGTCTATGCATGTGATTGATGATGATTGTATATTTGTATTTGACCATAGAGTTTGGTTGGTGAGTTATCGGGTTTTTTTCTACTTTTGGTAGCTCTTTTGTTGCTTGTGAAGGTAATCTACATGAAATTGGTGAAGCATAGTGATCATGGGCGAATTAATGGGGGTTTCTTCAACGAATAAGTTTGAGTATGAATGGATCTCTTTATGTTTTGTATCCGGTTGCCAATGGATTAGTATAAGTGTTGTCAATAAATGAATGAAAGTGAATGATGCAAGAATTTGGAGGATTGAATTTTATGCGAAGAGGAATTTCTGCCTAATGTATTGAGATGTCTATGTGTAGGACAGTCCTAGAAAACATGGGGCAGCAAGGATTGTGAAATAGGATATTGTGTATGTATCATAAAATTCACAGAATATATTTCTTATCAGCAAGACACCTGACTGTTTGAAAACGAATATGTCTGGTTATGAGGGGTAATGGATCTTTATAGTCATTCTTTTTGAAGTATATAATATTTATATACCGAAAATGAACTCACGTACCCTCCTTACCTTTGGTGAAGTTCCTTTTGACCTCTTGGCCCCTGGGAGGCTGGGCTCTATGGGTAACCCTGATAGTGCTAGGCCAAATACCATTAACAATGTTTGGGTGGGTGTCTCATGGCTGGAGTATACTGGAGCTTTAGTTAGTAGATTAGTGTAACAAAAACTGAATGATAAGCTTTTGCAGTAAATGAATTTGGGGTTTTGAGAACCGAATAAGAGTTACATGCTTTACCTTGGCTTAATGGTTATGATTTCAAGTAGCATCGAACTGAGAACCTATAAACAGTTGGGATCTCCAAGGACAGATCATATTCTATGTGTTAACCTTCGTTAAATCAATAGGGTTTATCTTGACATGAGTAGGTTTGATACATATGCCTTGCATTGGAATATTTCCACTGTTACATATCATTTACTTGGAGAGGAAGGGGGACCCCCGGGGGGGGAGGGGGGGGTGGGGATGATCATAAGCATAAAGAAAGACAACAGTCAACTACACCCTTTGGGTAGAATTAGCATTATTTCTACTCCCCCCTTATTTGTACATGACCATAAGCTCATTATTTGTTATGATATTTTATTTGACCAAGTGATTTGCAAAGTGCATTCAGAATTAAGTTGAACGTTTGTTAGAGAGCTTGATGGACATGAGTGCTTTAGAATGCTAATCTGCAATGGACAGTGACTATTGCCAAACTTGTTACGAAAAGGAACGTTTCTTAACTTGAATTTTGTGCAATAGCAAAACTCCCATAGTTGCCTTCATTAAGTTGAACAAGTGAATGCGAGATCTTACACGTGGGTGTACATTTATTCTCAATTCCTTTTGAGGAAATAACTTACTAAAATTATTTCTTTCAACCAGCTGCAAAAAATATTGTAGATGATGTATAGTGATTCTTGTTGAAAAGGAATAATTAATTGATGAAGCAATAGACATGTTTTACACCTGTGCTTGCACAAAAGTAAGGCAGCATGTGTTAAGGATAACAATCCTCACTTACAGCAAAATCATAGTCACAATGGTAGGTGTTTACCAGCTGTACATTCTGTTTTTAGTTTTGGTAAGAACGTTGATAAGATCCGTGTCCATTTAGGGATCATCATAAATGATTGAAGTGTGTAGCCGATCTCAGTATCGGTGTTTTTTGTTGGTAATTATCTCTAGTTTATTAATTTTATTCTCTAGCCTTATTTGTAAAGATTGTAATAAGTACCTGCTATAGTTATGCTGGACATTTTGTATTTATATACCTTACCTGTCAATAAAGAAATCATTTTCTTCTTCAACATTTACGTAGTAACAAAGTCCTGCCTTTGCAAAGGACATGGACTGTTGCCCTTCTGTGGGTCTCATAATATGCAATCCCCTCCGTCCCTAGTCTTTTGCTTTTCTGGTTTCTTTATTCATATTAATAGACCTGTCATTTCAATTATACCTTTTATTATTAAATACCCTCCTCCCACTCTCTCAAGTCTCATCTATTGGTGCCGGTTGCTCCATCCTCTCCCTTCCCTCTTGCATTGATTACAATAACTTTCCATGCCTCTACTTCCTTTTCTTTCTATCTTGCTTTAATATATTTTATTTCTTGGTTCCTACCAATGATATACATATAACAAGTAGAAATAGCGCAACAGGATGCAATCGCATTGCCTAGGTAAAAAAGATGGTTTAAACAATAAAGGGGACAAATAATATTTGTTAGACAAAAGAAATTAAAGTGGGATTGGGGAGGGAGCACTATGATTTCATCTGATTGACTTTTCATCATAGGTTTCAAGTATTCATTCATAATTTGTTCACCTTTTCTTCCACAACATCTCCTAGCAAATGTTTCCAATAAAATCATCTTGAACCTCTTTCTCTTCATTTGAGGGCATTGGAAAGACACCGTATGTTAAAAGAAATAAGATATAAGAAGGCAAAAAGAGAGCAGGAAATCACTGCAATCTAGAGACAAGAGGAGCATGGCCAAAGTATCAATGGTAAAAGAAGAGGGGGGGGGGGGGGGGTTAACAAAAAAGTGGTAACTTCCAATGGCATTGTTTGCTGATAAGTATTGAGATATGTGACATAGGGTACCTTAAGTGTAAAAATCTAAGGGCATCATTGTTGCTATCATTTGCTTGTGTACAGTTCAAATTACCTATAGAAAAAACATGGTTGTTTTTAGAGAACCTTAGGTCCTCTGATACTGTTCAACTTAAGGTTTATGAAAAAGTGAAACCCCTGATACTGTTCAACTTAAGGTTTATGGCATCTTACCATGATATATGCATATTTGTTTCTTTATCTTTTCTTATCTGTTGGTGGCAGTAGGGATTTCTGTGTTAGACTGGACATGTTCGACGGTGGATCGAAGTCTCAATATGTTGGTGGGCACAGAGAGAAGTTTGTGCGGTAAAATTTATTCCCCCTAGTGACGAGTCATTCTTCACATTTGGTATTGAGTTTTGCATCACTTTGTTTCTTGGATAGTGATAGAGATATACTCACTCTATGCTCTGAAAATTACAAGGATTAACTCTACGTGCATATTCGGGGTGCGTTTGGTACATTGGACAGGACAGAACAAAACAGGGATCCTTGTTCCACGTTTGGCAAGACTTTTATGTGGAACAAACAATAACAGAGTGGAATAGGCTTGTTCCACCCATACCCCATGCAACAGGGTGGAACAAGGTGAAACCGACTTATATTTTACCAATATAACCTCAAAATAAAACTTAATTCTCTTCTAAAACATCAAATAGGTCTCATTTTTACATTTTATTCATTCTTTAAATTTTATTTATTGTATTTGATGCTTTTTAAAACCTTCATTTTACCGTCATCAAAATATTATTTTTATACGGTTTCTATATTTTATTAATTTGTGTAATTTATTATATATTAATACTAAAAAATAATATAGAAAAGGGGTAAAATAAAAATTGGAAACTACATAAACTTTTAATTTTGGTGTCATTTTAATTGTTTTGACGAAAACTTTCTAATGATATATTTTGTTTTAAAAATAATCATTTTGTTATAATTTAATAAATTACATAAATTAATCGAAATATATAAACAACTCATTATGGGTAAATTGGTCATTTACTTGTTCTGTTCTGTCCACTATGTCTTACCAAACACTGAACAGTTGTTTTCTCCAGTTATGTCCTGTCTGGACACCAAATGTACCCTAATAGAAGTGTTTGACTATTAGTCAAATGTGTATAATACCTTGATGAAATAGAGTGAAAAGTCTTCAAAATGAACTTTATACATTCAACTTAATCTTGTAGACCAAAATCAATTTCACAAAAAATTTGCAACAATATAGGACATCCAAGAATTGGATATTTTTGCAATTTTGCTGGACAGAGAGGGGTAATATTGTTGCATCATGTTCATGTTCACTTATTTGGTAACAAATATTTTGTAGGATAGATTGTTTAAGCTTTTGTACAAGAGATGGAGCATATTTCATAAGTGTGTAGTGCTTAGACAACTTTAGGTAGCAAGTCTTGTGTAGCCTAGCACTCTCACATGCACTTGTCTTTTGCACGTAGGTCTATAATATATGTCTTCTATGCTATGATTGTAGAATTGCATTTGCTTTATTATCACAAGGCAGACCACTTAGGTATGCACTCTCTAGCAAGACTGTATCCTATAGGCAAAATTTAGTTCAGTAACGGGTACTATTCGTGGACAGAAAGACAACCATGTGAAAGTTTTGCACAGACAGGGTTGATTTATGTTCAGTCTCTTCTTTTCCCACACTGTCCCTCTAGAAGCTACTGTAGCCGCTAGCCTGTTCAATCTTTTATCTTTCTAACCTCCTAAGGTTCTGACAAAGAATGCCTTCAATTTCCTATGCCAGTGTTACAATTTGCATTGTCCCTGCTGCCACTCACCCTTTCTTCGTAACTGTGGTATCTAAAACCTCTGGCCCAACTAATTTATGGGTTTTATGCAAAGTGCCTCCTTGGCATCAACTTGCAAACTTTGGGTCTTTTGGCCAATGGGCATGACCCTCAAAGGAACTAATAGCACCTAGCGAGAATCAAACTTGAGACCTCATGTTGCATTGGACATGAGGGCCTAAAGGGTTGACCTCATATGGTTCACCTGGTGGTTATATCCTTTCCATTTGTCTTGATCTGCAGTCACCGAGGGTTACCTTATTTTGGCTGATGTTGTGGTATTTACTTGATGCCTATGACTGTCATGGCATTCTCATAACACTTTTCTCGATGTCCAACAGACTTCAACAAGTCTCCCCTCTGGCTTGCCAGATCTCACTGACAACATCTTAGACCTAGTGGCTTTTGATCTACAGTTGACTGCCCTTCTGACTACTTTGAAATGCTCTTAAACAGTTAAATAGCCCTCTTCATGGCTTGTGGGGCTCAGTTAGTTGACTGCTCTTCTGACTACTTTAAAATCCCCAAACAGCCCTCATTGTGGCCATTTGTGGATCAGATACACTTGGCAGGCTCTGCTCGCCTCTAGACTATTCTTTTTTGCCACAGTGGTTGTGCCTTTAAAAGTTCTTTGGGTGACGACATTCTCGAGGAGCTGTTTATATGGAACAGCCTTCTAAATCAGTAGGAATTTCACATGGAGATTTCTTTTCAGGAGTAAGAGAGTCGAGAGGAGTTTATCCTGGTTGCTATGTTTTTAATCGTGTCAGAAATTTTCAGTTTGAAGTTCTATCTCTTTTTGCTTGTCGAGTTCAATCTCTTTTCTCCAGCTTGAGGAATGTTAGAGATAGTGTTAGGATTTTAATTTCTTATGTTTGAGATTACCTTTGGCTTTGTGGATTGGACTGGCGATAATCTTACTGGAAAGATTGTAGCCCGGTGAAGTCCAACTGATAAAAAGTCATTGGATGACCAATGTCAGCTTTGAGGAAGCCTTTCAGCTCATATTGTTCAAAATCCTAGATATCCTTCCTTGGGAGGTTTGCTTGGCCAGAAAGAGAAGCCTAGGGGCTGGCTAATGTACTTCATGTACCAAGGGTTACTCTCATTTATCACGTACTCATTGAAATTATACTTGTAGACAGGGATGTGAACTACCTTATTAACAGCATAGTAGCTTGAAGTATTATAGTTTTTAGTCCTCTTTGAAAAACTGTGCCATGTGAGTTAAAGGAGAAAGTTGATAAATGTATAGATGTAACTTGTAATCTAGTTTAGTATATGCAACCCTTGCATATGCATCAAATGTAGTTTTATTTATGCTAAGATTTGTTGTTTTCTCAAAGATTGAATCCAGTGTAGTTATATCCACTGAGAGCTTTTTAAAAGAACAAAATGATTCAGATGCAGAGGAAGAAGAGAGGGACCTGTCTTTAGTAGTGAGGTTGACTGGTTGAGTTATGCAAGTTATTATAACAAAATGTTTGCAGATGCGAGTGGCTCAAAAAAGAATCTATCTGGCTTATGTTAGTGTAACTTCATTTTATAGAAGAGCTTTAAAGGCAATTATAAACAAAAATAGTTTAGGAGAAGCGATCATGATTGTATATCTGTAGTTAACTAGTAAATATGGGAAATGGCCTGATGCTGATTGATGATGACTATCAACGATTGGATATAGCAAAGTATAGGGGTTTTTACTCACTAATAATGTTACCTTATTACCAATAAACAATAATAGGAATTTAAAATACAATACATCTCCAGTTACCTGTGGACTTGCAAATCAGTGATGCATGCTCTTTTTGCCATAATATGTGAAAACTGGTTGTCAGTTTGGCCTTGATGGACTTATGATCTATAGAAATAGATATAAAAGACTTCATGTTCTATGCACTGATTATATACCTTAATTTTAACACAAGATGCTCTAAAAACTTGACATATCCCATCCATATCTGGGCTTCTACATTCTGCTATCGTGGTTTATAATTTTTTTTCTATTGTGCTAATAACAACAAGAAACTTCTAAAACTAAGGTTGATGTTAAGCAAGGAGTCCTAATATTCAACATTTTCTACTGTTCCAGTAGGCCCTCAAAGTTGACTATATCATTAACAGATCCTGTCTTTTCTTTGTAGGAGTAAATGTGTTCTATACCAGTTAGTACATGCTATCACTTACTATTATTATTTTATCTGTTTTTATTTCTTCAAAAAAAATTATTACTTCTCCCTATACTTTTGATAAATGGGTTGCTTCTGATTTCCAATAACACCTATGTTTGCATTTTAAGGTTGAATGATTTGGATTCTAGATCATCATCACCTGCTTCTTCAGTTGCAATGAATAAATGTGGATTTGACGGAATAGGTCGTACAAGACATGTAAATGCTTCCCCTTCTAGATCTTTCAAAAATGGAATTAGAAAAGGATCAGAAGGACTTAAATCAATTGGTCGGTCACTTGGATTTGGAGTTTCTCATGCTGTGTTCCCTGAAGATCTTAAGGTGTCAGAGAACAAGATCTTAGACCCTCAAGCTAAATTCCTTCTCATGTGGAATAAATTCTTTGTTCTCTCCTGTATATTGGCTGTGTCTATAGATCCATTGTTCTTCTATCTTCCGGTCTTTGATCAAAAAAATTCTTGCCTCGGTATAGATAAAAAGCTAGCAATTACTGCTACAACACTACGGACCGTTGTTGATGCCTTCTATCTCATTCACATGGCTCTTGAATTCCGAACTGCTTACATTGCTCCATCATCCCGTGTTTTTGGACGGGGTGAACTTGTAATTGATCCTGCACAAATAGCTAAGAGATACTTGCGGTGGTATTTCATCATTGATTTCCTTGCAGTGCTGCCCATACCACAGGTCAGATAACTAATTTCCTTTTAGATAAATCTATGGTTATTTAACAACACAAAAGATGAATCATCTTGCTTTACCTTCATCTGCCCTGCTATTATGTGTTAATTATGGATGTTTGAGCACGGTTCTGGATGAGGTGTCATGTGGGCTGATTTTTGGCTTGGCCTCATTCATGGCTTCCAGGAACCTACCCTACTGGTTGTGAACTTGTGGCTCCCAAGGAGATGCATAGTATCAAAGAGGTGGAAGCAGATATGGGTTATCTTGTTGATATTCAATGAACCCAATATTTTCCTTCATATGGAATTAGCTACTAGAAGTTGACACTGGAAGTCTATGGGGGACATGTTTCAATTCCTGGGAAGCTTCCCTAACTTGTGAGCTTCCAATGTCTTAGGTCACTATTAGCAATACTAGAATTAGGTAAAGAAATGTTTCATGGAGAATGCTCATTTAATTAGATTTTCCTGAACCACAAGAGGGCTTAACTTCTCCTCTGTTTACTTAGCTACTTCTCATATATTGCCCATCCATCCATTGCTCATTGAGATATTTGTGTTAATATATCGTGATACGAGAAATGTGTAAACACTACAAGAACTCTGATGTACTGATAAATTTTTTGTTTGCTCTATATTGTGTATTTTTGCTGTGTTAGTAAGAATATGCAGGGTATAAGAAAAGTTTGATTTAGACTTTAACATTATTTTGTAATTGTGCAGATTGTTATCTGGAGATTTCTGCAGAGTTCGAATGGTTCAGATGTAGTGGCTACAAAAGAAGCCTTACTTTTTATTGTGTTATTTCAGTATATCCCCAGATTTGCTCGAATCGTGCCTTTGACTTCAGAACGGAAAAGGACCGCTGGCGATTTTGCGGAAACTGCTTGGGTTGGGGCCACTTGTTATTTGTTGCTCTACATGCTTGCCAGTCATGTAAGCTACCATTTACACTTTTCATGGATGTTACTGTTTCCTATTTATTTTTACTGAATATACATGTCCTTGTGGCCCTTGCTTGATTTTCCATTTGAATGAACTTTTGGGAGTTTGTTTCTCTTCATCAGTTACATTGCACATATACTGCTTGGTAACTGGGAGATGTGCAAATGGGGGGAGGGGGTTGTGGGGGACAGAACATCTGTACATGTGGACAACTTCTGCTTGGAAAAGAAAAGTAGATGAGAACTGAGATAGGAAACAAAGGTTCTGACACGGCTATATAGCTTCAGTCTAATAAGTTGCTTTGCCACTGGATTATGCTTTTCGTCATCCCTTTCCTTCAGTTTAATTTTTTAAAAGTAGGAAACTGAATTATGGTTGCATTTAATTATGTAATACTCGAGCATCTGTCTTCAAAGGACCAGACCATCCCATACACATAAATACAATTGTATGTATGGATGAATTGATGAGAAACAGGAGAAGTAGATCTATCAAGATGCAGAAGTTTATTGATACATTCTTGTACCCCACTTGACATAACAAAGAATTAGGCAGTCTGATTATCACTGCTTAGGTGTTATAAATTCATAGAACTTGAGCTTCAGTTTTCTTATATCAATTGATTTTGCTGTTGGCATATAACTTCAACTTTCCCTCATACAACTGGTTTGGGGTAAATGTTTTGTTGAGTTGCTATGACATTCTTTTTCCAGATAGTTGGTGCCTTCTGGTATTTGTTGTCTGTAGAGCGTAATGATACATGCTGGCAGAGAGCTTGTAAAAAGAGAAATCAGAATACGGATTTTTTGTATTGTGGAAATGAACGCACGGCAGGTTATGATAGCTGGAGCAGTAACAGTAGTGAAGTTCTAAAAGCTGATTGCTCTCCAGATGGTGATAATCCGCCATTTAATTTCGGGATTTTCAAGCAGGCCCTGTCATCAGACATTGTTTCGTCTAGAGAGTTTGTTTCAAAGTACTGCTACTGCTTGTGGTGGGGGCTGCAGAATTTGAGGTAAATCGAATTTTCACCTGCTGTATAGATTTTTGTCATACTTCAGCAGACTTGAATTGCATCCTTGTGGGACTTCAGTGTTATGTTGTTCCTATACATATATCATGTAAATGTTTCTTAACCACAAAATATGAAATACACCTACTGTTAGAAAGAGGGTTTAGGAGAATTGAGAAAATCTTTGTTATTCCTTGATTAGAATTCTTTGAAATTCTTTTTACTGGTCGCCAGACAATTAAAATTGTCTCTGCTAGGGTACAAATTATGATGTAATTTTGAGAGCTCTCTTAACTTCTGGATATGTTAGACCATATAAATATTGAATAATCAGCGACTAATGATTTCTATTTTATTTTTAATGTCAGCACTCTAGGACAGGGGCTTGAAACCAGCACTTATCCCGGAGAGACTATATTTTCAATTGCACTAGCCATATCCGGGCTCATTCTATTTGCCTTGTTGATTGGCAACATGCAGGTTACGTCACAGCTACTTTTCCATCAACTCCTAAACTTTAACTACTCTTCGTCATTGTCAATTTTCCAACTCTCTGCCGTGAAAGATGAGCCATTTGCTCTTGACATAAGAATAAAAAAATGATATTTTGTTTCACTGCAATTCAGTATTATAATGTTATTTGCAGGAGTTGAAATTCATGTTCTCAGCAAACATAAAAAAAAAGATTATGATTCATGTAATAAAGGGAACTTTTCATGTCCTTGTTGAATTTGCAACCGAACAGCCCAGTAAAGTCCTAAAAGGTGTTGGGGGTTGGGGGGGAGGGATGTACACAGACGTGTTCTCTTCCCTAAAGGGTAGAGTGGCTGTTATTGTTTCCTGCAATTGTTACTTTCTGTGTAATTGGCAATCCAAGCACTGAAATTTGATTTGTTGTGCTATGACAGACATACCTTCAATCTCTTACAATTCGGCTGGAAGAGATGAGAGTTAAGAGGCGTGACTCGGAGCAGTGGATGCATCACCGGTTACTTCCAGATGATCTTCAGGAGCGTGTTAGACGCTATGATCAGTACAAGTGGTTAGAAACCCGTGGCGTGGATGAAGAGAATTTGGTTCAAACGCTACCAAAGGATCTGAGAAGGGACATAAAGCGTCATCTTTGTCTTGCTTTGGTTAAAAGGGTAATTCTTTAGTTTTTTAAATATGGCAACATGCATATAGGTACTTTAATTTAAGGAGTTACCAAAAAAGGAAATGCTATACTTCCTCCATCCCAAAATCAGTGTCCACATTTCTATTTTGGGACAAATATTTTAGTTTGTCCAAAAATGAGCATCCACTTTCAAAAGTGTCTATTTTCCAATTCTATCCTTATTGAGATGGAGAAATTCATTACTCATTCTATTATTAAGGGTGAAATTGTCATTCAGTTGATTAAAAAGGTGTAATAATTACTTATTTTCAAAACTGCTTACCTTTTTCATTGTGTAAATTTATTTTGGGATGGAGGGAGTAATTTCCTCCGGACATCCTAGACTGGGAACTTCTCCGGTCTTCGTGGCTTTAAGGAAGAAAACAAAATAAATATATATAGGCGAAGGATCGTGTGAGAAGAAGAGTTAAGGTGATAAGTGTAAGAAGGGATCTGGACCCTTGATCGCCTATAATCTCAAACCCACCCATGAATCGCGCTTGATACGGGGATTGATCTGGTGCATCTCGGTGCATCTTATCCTAATGTGCATCCAAGGGTGGAGATCCCTTCTTACGCTTCTCATTTTAACTTTCTTTCTTACTGGAACCCAACCCTATATATATTTGGCCACCGTTTACGGTTGAGCAAAGGTGGTAAAAATTTATTTGATGTTGGAGCAAGTTGAGGGTCTTCGTGGTAACAGCCGCTCTACTCTTCAGGGTAGAGGACAGGTCTACGTATATCCCACCTCCAAGTAGGATATAATGGCTCATGTGGTTTTGTTTGGTTTTAGTTCAGGAGCCAAACAAACTACTCCTCCTACCTGGGGAGTAATTTTTTTTGTATCAAAAGATCATGGGACAAAATTCTATGGTATTCCATCTCATCAGAATTGGCTCCGTTTTTCCAATTGCATTAGGTTCCTCTGTTTGAAAACATGGATGAGAGGTTGCTAGATGCCATTTGCGAACGGCTGAAACCTTGTTTATACACGGATAGTAGCTACATTGTCCGTGAAGGAGATCCTGTTGATGAAATGCTCTTCATTATACGTGGCCGTCTTGAGAGCGTAACCACCAATGGTGGCAGAAGCGGGTTTTTCAACCGTAGTTTGTTGAAAGAAGGCGACTTCTGTGGCGAGGAGCTTCTGACCTGGGCACTCGACCCTAAATCCGGAGCTAATCTTCCATCTTCCACAAGAACCGTGAAGGCCTTGAGAGAGGTGGAGGCTTTCGCATTGCCAGCCGACGAGCTGAAATTTGTTGCCAGTCAGTTCCGGCGGCTGCACAGTCGACAGGTACAACACACATTCCGGTTTTACTCACAGCAGTGGCGGACTTGGGCGGCATGCTTTGTTCAGGCAGCCTGGCGAAGATATTCCAAGAGGAAGATCTTGGAGCAGCGGCGGAAAGAGGAGGAAGAGGAGGCAGCTCGTAACAGTTCCACCAGCGGTGGAGCTACATACAGCCTCGGGGCCACTTTCTTGGCTTCGAAATTTGCAGCCAACGCTCTTCGTGGGGTCCATCGCAATCGGAACCTGAAGAGTGCTAGGGAATTGATGAAATTGCAAAAGCCTCCAGAGCCAGATTTCACTGCTGATGCTGATTAGCTTTGTTTCTGACTGTAATCAGAACTGTGTAATATAGACCTTAAGATGCTTGTTTTAACTGTGCTTTGGTGAGAGGCTTGAAGTTGAAAATTGTAACCATACTTGTTGTAAAGCTTGCTGTAAAAATGATTGTAACTATGTTGATATGGAGGAAATGTTAATTTCTTTGTTACAGACGTCTCAGTAAATTATGTTTAGAGTGTGGTTTGGATGATAAGATGCACATACTCTTTTGGTTATTGTAAATTGGGTTCTGATCATTGGGTCTTGTAAAGATGGGTGGAACTCGAAAACCAAAAAGTTTTAAGACGGATGTTATGAATGATCTGGTAGTGATATGACGTACAGATGAGTTCCATATATATATTATTTGAGGGACAAAAATCAGATATTATATATGAAAATATGCAAATCGCCTTTAAAAAGTGAAAATACCTCTATACCGTCTTCTAGTGACGACAACTTATGACGCAACGATTTGACACATCAATGACGATTTGACGAGACATCGGGGGCGATTTTCATTGTTTTTTGTCTTTTTTTTATGACCAAATGTAAAATGTATAAATCTTGTAGTGATCCAAACATTTCTACTCTCACAACCTTTAATCCGCCACTTTGAACATACATGGAACAATTATCACTTTGACGTGATTTCATATTTGTGTTAAGGATTGTGATGGTAGATTGTGTTTAAGTGTTGTGAGAGTAGAAGTGTTTGGATCACTACAATTTTATAGATAATTTTACAAGATTTATATATCTACTATATTTAGTCCTAAAAAAACAAAATAGATAAGACAAATGCGAGTTTTATTAATAGTATATATACATCATATACTTGAAAAAAAGTTAAATATTTATAATATGAAATGATTAAATATTTATTTTGACAAAGAAATTATTATCCATTATTTTACAATATTTTATATCCGAAAATTCTTAAATCATTGTAATTTTTCATATTTTTAGCAATATTTATGGCTTCATATACAATTTTAAGGTTTTATTTTAAAAATTATTATTATAATTTTTCAGATTTATTAATTATTTGGAATAATTAGGGACCGTTTACTTAAATACTTACCCAGTAAGCATTTACTATTAGGAGTCTAACATTGTAATTTATTTTACCGGATAATATTGTAGTACATCAAAATGGTATTTATGCAACAATTTACCCGGTAAGTACTTACCCCGATAAGAGTCGTTACCCTCACTTACCGAATAAGACTTTTCATCTTTACCATTGTTCTTATCGGGTAAGATTTTTGACCATTGTCATATTCATCCGGCAAGTAAAATTACCTAGTAAACACTTACTGGGTAAACGTTCAGTAAACGACCACTTAAATAAGTTTATATTTTATAGTAACGGTCAAAAAATATTTATAAGAATTGTACCAAAAATTGGTGTACATTGCCATTGGCCAATTTTTTTTCATATACCATATAAAAGCCTCATTTTCCATTTTCCCGTTTCTATTTTCATCCCCATTTCCTTCTTTACTCAAGTCTCACACTCTGACTTCTGACACCAACCCCCCAAACAGACTAAAGAACGACGACCAACGGCCACCGGGCACCGGATCTCCGTCCACGAAACCTCCATTAAGGTGCTCTTCTCCCTCTTAACACTCGTTTCTTCCTTAAATGTATCGCTGCATTTTATGAATTTACAGAACCAGTGTTCGTTTCGTCCTTTTTACAAAAATAGGGTTCGTGTTTAATCTAAGTCAAATTTGTTGTGATTTGTGTCAGTTCTTCTTCATTTTTCAGTACAGGTACGAGAGGTTTGTGTTCGTAGACGCAGTAGTGGTGATCCGAGGAAATTTAGGCTGACATATCAAGGTAAAGGAATATGTTTGTGTTGCAAAGATACTTTGTTGAATTAAGTTAGTCAATTGATCTCTGTCTCTTGGGATTAGATCTAGGGTACTGTAATGTGTTCGTCGTAACATGCCATATCCTTGTTCTAGGAAAAGGGAGCTATAGTTTAATTTTGTGGATCAAGGGGGTTGCTTTTGAACTTTTAAATAAATATGCAATGTAAAGGTCCCAAGAAATATTTGGAAACTCATTGGATTTCGTGACAAGTCCACAAGTAGAAAGTTATTGCATGCAAACTCATAACAAGTGCTATAAATTTTGCTTAGCTTGTTTTTTTTTTTGGGGGGGGGGGAGAGGGGAGGGGATGGAAGCTGGCTGCAAATCTTGTTAAACTTTTGTAGCATCTAGAGTTAGTTTACTAGCCTAGCACCCAGCTTATGTTAAGACTTAGAATAGAAACACAGTCCTTCCTCTGCTCATAGTTCCTTTTTTCATTCCAGTGAGCTTCGTTGATCTAGAATTATCCAGATAGTCATGCTCGCCGAGTTAGGGTTGTATCATTTGACTTAGATGGCTGAATTCATTCCTCATTCTTCCTTTAAAAATCTCACCAGCATAAGCCATTAGGTTCCGAAACTGATACTTTCCTTAGATTATCTTGTGAACAATTAATGGAATTACATCATAGACTATGATAGAGGTAGGTTTATTTATTTAACAGCTGAATTCACATTTTAGCGCCTTAAATGAGATATGCAGGTTTATTTATTTTAGCCGGTGAATTATAATTTTAGCATCTTAATTGAGATGCATTCTGCATACGGCATACCCAATATGGATATAGATAGCAAGGTTCAATTTTAGAGAGGAATTGTTTTCAGGCGCCTAATCCCTTCAAAGAGAAAATTTCCGGTTTCAAGTACTTGCAGCAAAAATAAAACCACTAGTAGCAGAGTTATAGTTCTATTGTACATCATTGAATTTAGCATCATGAAAGCGAAATCATGCTTGTCCTTTCTCTGCCCTTTCCAAACTTGCACATCCCGAACTTCTTTCCTCCCCGAATTCCAATAAATCTCCTATTCTATTATTGAAATTAGCCCAAGTTTTTTTTCCTAGTTGCTACATTCTTGTCACTTCTGATAGTGCTTTATTACATATTTTATCTTGCACTCTTGGCACTACATGATAACATAAAGAAGTTGCAACTACAAGTCAATCCATGCCTCTTAATCTTGAACTACCCTCTGCTCCAAATTCCAATAAATCTCTTATTCTATTGTTGAAATAAGCCCATGTTTTTTTATTTAGATGTTTACATGCTTGTCACTCCTGATAGTGCTTTATTACCTATTTTATCTTGCAATCTTGGCAATACTTGGTAACATAAAAAGGATTGCGAATACAAGTTAATCCATTGATGTAACTTACTGTAACCTGATTAAAACACTATATAAACCATTAATGGTGAGAGTCATATGAAGAGATTGACAGCTAAGTTAGTGATGTCCAAATCCTTTAGAATTGAATTATTTTGTCATAAAGGTGCTTCAGTTACTGCAAGAGGGATTCATAAAATGAGAAGACCAGTAGGCTCAATGAATGTCATCTCACTCTAAATGTTAGCCACATAAGAGGCTGTAGGTGGATCCATCTTCTTTTTAAGTCTTCCTCAATCTAATAAGCTACTCCGAAAGCATCTCCAAGAGTCATGACAATATCACAATACTAGAAGTTCTTAGGTTTATGAGGTTTCAACCCTTTCTGGTGCATGAGATCACGGTGTTTCTTTCCATAAAAAAAGGATAAGGGAGAAGAATACGCCGGGCGATTCTAAAAAAAAGTTATTCGAGATCTTTTACGATTTGGAACAACTATTGAACATGTAATAAAAGCTAATAACTTCCCTAGAAGGCTAATAACCCCATACCAGTCAGGTTTTCTATGAGAGGCAATCCTATAAATAAAACATTCAACATGGTTTCCTAAAAACCATTAAGAAACGTTCTTCTAAGATGGTTAGGATACAATTTCCATAAATTGTATATTCTCTATGCTTTCCTAGTAATTTTTCTGAATACTTCCATATTGATATTTTCCAAAGAATCACTAATATCAATAATGCTAACATAAACTCATAATGTTAGTAAGGCTCCAAAATACCTTGAAGCAGGGTTGTGCTGTATCATGAGTGGCTTAAAATATGAGTCAAAGAAAATCACCAAAGAGACGTGGTCATCTAACTAGGGTAAGACTAAGCAATTTTCCAGTAATTTTAAGATACAACGCCACACATAAGGCAATCTTTGGAGGGGAAACCAGTTATCACTTGCTATGCAATGGACAAGAGCAGCTATTCTTCGTTCAATTAGTTGCACAAAGGGGGTCTGATGAAATTCTTCTTCTTCCTAGTGTCACCTTTTTATCAAGTCTATATTCTGATTGTTTAAGTTAAGGCTGATGACTATTTAATCCATCAAATTAACTGGTGTGTGAAAACCTGCACTAGCTGTCTTACGGCATGCCTATGTACTTGCACCTAACCACATGGTATTTTGGTACTATTAGATATCTTCTGTTTGAGCTAAGAAAAAGATTTAAAGAATTTCTGCAATGTGCTAGAAAGTTATGCAGCTCAAAATTTGGTGTATACCCTTGCATAGATGATTTACTTGGGGCCAGTTTCTCATCACATTTGTGGAGCTGAAATTTTACTTTCATACCAAAACTACATTGCCTTTGGAGCGTTTGTCAATCATGGTATGGTTGCATTTTCATGCCTTAAGGACTTGGAAGGCATTTTTACATCTTTCAAATTTATGCTGTAAATCTCATGTAATCTACCATGTACATGATTATTAATTGCTCATCACCTGTAGCACCCTCTTGAGGTAAGATCAATTGGGTAAGCTGTGGACAAAGGACAAAAAATAGTAAGAGTAATTAGTTAAGTGGTTCTAAGATATTTTTTCAGCAGTAGCAGCCATGACTCTATCATCCTTACTCATTTACATCCCATGTTTATCTCCGGCTTCTTTTTATTTCAACTCTCATCTAATACCTTCTTAAGAGATTAGTGACTATGCTTCAACTTCTCAATGCAGTATATGATTATCTAGCCTTCATAAAGTTGTTAATCATTTCATTGGGGTTTTATTATGGTTCAGTCAACTCATAACTTTGTTGAATATGTTTATCCATTCGGCTCTGTATAGGTTGTGTAGGGTGGGGCTCAGTCAGGTTGCAGGTTGCAGGTTGCAATTGTGTATAGTGGCATAGCATTGGTAATAGATATATAATTGGACCGAGGCAAGACCATAATTTTAAAATGGGGCGATTAAAGCTGCAGCCTGGAATTAAGGCAATTGAAGAAGAACCAGAAGACTATGAGAACACTGCTTCTGAGAGGGATAAAGCTGCTTTGGGATGCATGATTAACTCTGAAATTGGTGCTGTGTTGGCTGTCATGAGAAGGAACGTAAGATGGGGAGGTCGTTACATGTCAGGTGATGATCAGCTGGAGCACTCTCTCATCCAGTCCCTGAAGGCATTGCGGAGGCAAATTTTTTCTTGGCAACATCCATGGCATACCGTCAATCCTGCTGTCTATCTACAGCCATTTTTGGATGTGATTCGGTCTGATGAAACTGGTGCACCAATTAGAGGTGTTGCTTTGTCGTCTCTTTATAAGATCTTAAGTCTGGATGTGCTTGATCTGAACACTGTTAATGTCGAGGATGCCATGCACTTGGTAGTTGATGCTGTGACAAGCTGTAGGTTTGAGGTCACTGATCCAGCATCTGAAGAAGTAGTCCTCATGAAGATCCTCCAAGTTCTACTTGCTTGCATGAAAAGCAAAGCATCAGTTATGCTGAGTAATCAACATGTTTGTACCATTGTGAACACATGTTTCCATGTGGTTCATCAAGCAGGAACGAAAGGTGAGTTGTTGCAGCGGATGGCTCGCCACACTATGCATGAACTTGTGAGGTGTATTTTTTCACATCTTCCTGATGTCGACACCACGGAACATACATTTATCAAGGGAAACAACACTGCCAAACAAGAGGTAAGCATTCATCTGCTTGTCCTCCATAATTTCCTATCAGTTCTACTATCATTGACATCATTTTTCTGTTTCATGGTTTATGGCAACAATTGACATGTTTGATAGGTTTGAAAGATCTAATCCAAATTAAAATTAACATTGCCTTGATAATTTTTGAAAGATTAATTAGGTAGTTATGTGATGGCCAGGAAATGAAGTTTTTATTCACCTAATTATTTAGGAAGATTGGTGGCTTATTTACGTGATAACCTCAATGATATGATCTAATAGTTGGACATTTGGACTTTATATAGATTATCAAATTTAAGTTTGATGTATGTTGATCCATGTAATATGGTTTATACAGCTTCCAAGAGGGATGGCCATTATTAATATGACTCTCAGCTAAAAGCACTTAATGTAAAAAAGATTAAAACAGAAGAAAAGAAACTATTACTCTTCTTTTCCTTCTTCAAAACTAATAAGAAGCTGAATTAAAGAAACAAAGACCCATTATAGGTTAGTATCAGGTATGGCCAGAGTCAGGGCATCAAACTGAGAATATGACTGAACTACATTCTATCTGAGCACCAATATCACCCATGAACAGTGGTAGAGGAGAGTAAGCTTTTTGTCATTGCTTACAGGTACTGCAGAAAATTTACTGCAAAACAAATCACTTGCAATTGTCTTGCATGACATTTTTTACCTTTGCTCATATCAGGTTCCTGAATGATCCATAAAAGGGAATCATTCAGTGCTTCAGTGCACATGGTTACAAGTATTCTCTTTTCCATCAGCAATGCTTCAACACTAAAAATGATTTGATGAGGGTAGTCTTCTTGGTCTAGAGAATATTTTTGTTCTGTGGCTTTTTGATCCAGAGCCCAGCTTGCAGATAAATGGCTCCTTCCCATGATGGTCATCATGAAAGACAGTAGATTGTAGTTCTTGATGTTGTGTTCAACTGTAAAATTGACAGAAGAGTTTTTGAAATAGTTGTTATTTTGAAAAAATAGTAAGTAAATAAGGAAGAGGTGGTGAGGGAAAATAGAAAAGAAAATGAGAATTCATTGTTCCCTTTGTCATCGATTTTATCAGGAAATTTACCAGGATGTTTCTGTCTTGTGAAATTTTCAAATGGTTTGATTCATAGAAGGATTTCTGACAGCCAGAGGTGTTGTGTCTTCTAAAAGAAAAACCAGATTGTAGTCTCTCTACTATTATTGTGTTCTTAAGATGTCCATATCTTGCTCCATGAGAAAAAAGACCATGTGCCTGTGTGTCCATTGAGTTCTTGGTTTGTAAGGTGGATAGAAAACTAGGAGCAATCACCCAGTGCCATCTTTTGTATATGTAGTTTTGAGTAACTGCTGCTATGTGCAAGATGAATGCTGCTATCTAAACCAATTAAATCTTCTTACCGTCTTTGAAACTGATAATACTGTGCAGGTCAGTGGGTTGCCTGGTGATTATCCTTTTGGGGGTAAGCAATTGGAAAATGGTAATGGTGGTTCTGAACTTGACTCTCGAGCACCCTCTGCAAATTTTGTGTCAAATGTTACTGGTGGCATGGTTCCTGCGATGGATGAAAACATAGTGGTCCCTGGTAATGGCAAGGATACCGTTTCATACGATTTAAATTTGATGACAGAACCGTATGGGGTGCCTTGCATGGTGGAAATATTTCATTTTTTATGTTCACTGCTAAATGTTGTTGAACACATGGCAATAGGTCCAAGAGCAAACACCATAGCTTTTGATGAAGATGTGCCACTTTTTGCGTTGGGTTTGATCAATTCGGCAATCGAATTGGGTGGCACCGCTATACGTCGACACCCCAGATTATTGAGTTTGGTGCAAGATGAGCTGTTCCGTAATCTGATGCAATTCGGCTTGTCGACAAGCCCTCTAATTCTTTCAATGATATGCAGCATTGTTTTAAACCTATATCATCATTTGCGTACTGAGCTCAAACTACAGCTTGAAGCTTTTTTTTCCTGTGTGATCTTAAGGCTTGCACAAAGCAGGTATGGGGCTTCTTATCAGCAGCAAGAGGTTGCTATGGAGGCACTTGTTGACTTTTGCAGGCTGAAATCTTTCATGGTGGAGATGTATGCCAACCTGGATTGTGATATAACATGCAGCAATGTGTTTGAAGACCTTGCTAGTTTGTTGTCTAAAAGTGCATTCCCTGTAAACTGCCCTCTATCTGCAATGCATATTCTCGCTTTAGATGGTTTGATTGCTGTGATTCAGGGGATGGCTGAGAGAATAAGCAATGCGTCAGTTAGTTCTGAATCAGTAAATCTCGAAGAATATACGCCTTTCTGGATGGTTAAGTGTGACAATTATAGTGATCCTGATCATTGGGTTCCATTTGTACGCAGGAGAAAATACATAAAAAAGAGGCTGATGATTGGAGCTGATCATTTTAATAGAGATCCTAAGAAAGGGCTAGAGTTTCTTCAAGGAACACATCTCTTGCCTGACAAACTCGACCCCCAGAGCGTGGCCTGCTTCTTCAGGTACACTGCTGGCTTAGATAAGAATCTTGTTGGGGATTTTCTGGGAAATCATGATGAGTTTTGTGTTCAAGTTCTTCATGAATTTGCTGGAACTTTTGATTTCCAAGACATGAACATGGATACTGCATTACGACTTTTTCTGGAGACGTTTAGGCTGCCAGGAGAATCACAAAAGATACAAAGAGTGCTCGAAGCGTTCTCTGAGAGATACTATGAGCAATCGCCACAGATCCTTGCTAACAAGGATGCTGCTCTTTTGTTGTCATATTCTTTGATTATGCTTAATACAGATCAGCACAATGTCCAAGTTAAGAAGAAAATGACAGAGGAGGACTTTATAAGAAATAACCGGCACATCAATGGTGGCAACGATCTCCCTCGAGTTTTCTTGTCTGAGCTTTATGATTCAATCTGCAAAAATGAAATACGCACTATCCCTGATCAAAGTGCTGCTTTCCCTGAAATGAATCCTAGCCGTTGGATTGATTTAATGCATAAGTCCAAGAAAACTGCTCCATTCATTGTGTCTGATTCAAGGAGTCACCTTGACCGTGATATGTTTGCTGTGATGTCTGGCCCAACAATTGCTGCTATCTCTGTAGTATTTGACTGTGCTGAGCTTGAAGATGTGTTCCAAACCTGTATCGATGGGTTCCTAGCTGTTGCAAAAATCTCAGCCTGCCATCATCTTGAAGATGTCCTGGATGATCTGGTCGTTTCTCTCTGCAAGTTCACCACCCTTTTGAACTCCTCATCTCCTGAGGAACCAGTTCTAGCCTTTGGTGATGATCCAAAAGCCAGGGTGGCAACTATAACAGTATTCACCATTGCCAATAGGTAAGGATGATTTCCTAATGTTTTCTCTTTACATTCATAGATTATATTACTTGCTAAAGCTGTCAAATTATATATAGGTATGGTGACTTCATACGGGCTGGCTGGAGGAATATTCTTGATTGCATCTTGAAGCTGCACAAGCTTGGCCTTCTTCCTGCTCGAGTGGCTAGTGATGCAGCTGATGATTCAGAGCTTTCTTCTGAACCTGGACAGGGGAAGCCTCTAACGAATTCTTTATCCTCTGCCCACATGCCGTCTGTTGGTACTCCAAGGAGGTCCTCTGGGCTAATGGGCCGTTTCAGTCAACTCTTATCTCTCGACACAGAGGAACCTAGACTGCAACCCACTGAGCAACAACTTGCTGCTCATCAACGCACTCTTCAGACAATTCAAAAGTGTCATATTGATAGCATTTTCACTGAGAGCAAGTTTCTTCAAGCTGACTCTTTGTTAAACCTTGCTAGGGCACTCATCTGGGCTGCTGGGCGCCCTCAGAAGGGTAATAGTTCTCCTGAGGATGAAGATACCGCAGTTTTCTGCCTAGAATTATTGATTGCAATCACATTAAACAATAGGGATAGGATTGTGATTCTTTGGCAGGGTGTTTATGAACACATAGCCAACATTGTTCAAACGACTTTGATGCCCTGTGCCCTAGTTGAGAAGGCCGTCTTTGGACTTCTAAGAATCTGTCAGCGGCTTCTTCCTTACAAAGAGAATCTCGCAGATGACCTTTTGAGGTCACTTCAGCTTGTTTTGAAACTTGATGCCCGAGTGGCTGATGCATATTGTGAACAAATTACTCAGGAAGTGAGCCGTCTTGTGAAGGCAAACGCTTCTCACATCCGATCCCAAATGGGTTGGCGGACAATTACATCATTACTTTCCATCACTGCCCGACACCTTGAAGCTTCTGAAGTAGGATTTGATGCGCTTCTATTCATCATGTCTGACGGGATCAACTTAATGCCATCCAACTTCACCACCTGTGTGGATGCAGCAAGGCAATTTGCTGAGTCCCGTGTTGCACATGCTGACCGGTCCATTCGTGCCCTTGACCTGATGTCAGGATCCATCGGTTGCCTAACTCAGTGGGCCCAAGAGGCTCAAGAAGCAATGGGAGAGGCAGAAGCCGCGAAAATGTGTCAAGATATAGGAGAGATGTGGCTCAGACTTGTGCAAGGACTAAGAAAAGTCTGTTTGGATCAGAGGGAAGACGTGAGGAACCATGCTCTCTTAGCGTTGCAAATGTGTTTGACTGGGGTGGATGAGGTCCACATCCAGCATGGGCTCTGGTTACAATGTTTTGACATGGTCATCTTCACGGTTCTTGATGACTTGCTAGAAATCTCCCAAGGACACTCTCAAAAAGACTTTAGAAACATGGAAGGAACCCTTGTTTTGGCTCTGAAGCTTCTTTCAAAAGTGTTTCTACAGCTGCTTCCCGAGCTCTCTCAGGTAACCACTTTTTGTAAACTATGGTTAGGCGTTCTTAGCCGTATGGAAAAATACTTAAAAGTCAAAGTCAGAGGTAAAAAGAACGAAAAGCTTCAAGAACTTGTCCCCGAGCTTCTGAAGAACACTTTGGTTGTCATGAAGAACAAGGGAGTGCTGGTGCAAAGAAGCGCCCTCGGTGGAGATAGCTTATGGGAACTCACTTGGTTGCATGTGAATAACATCGCTCCATCCATTCAATCCGATGTTTTCCCAGATCAAGATTCCGAACAGAAACAGAAGCCGGTTTCTGCTGAAAATGAGACAGAAATCAGATGATTCAGTTGCGATGGGGTGTTGTACAGAATTCTCATGTGATTCTTACACCATCAGTTGATTGGCTATTGTATACTAATCGAAGATCCTCCAGATGTGGTTGGAATTGGATCCGAGAAATGAAGTGAAATAGAGCTAACAAAGGGCGTTTTTCGTGATGGTATGTATTTTAAATGTTGTTTTTTGGCTACTAATTTTCTTTTCTCTATGTGTTGGTCTGGATGTTTGTACAGAACTCAGATGAGATGAGGGAGGCCATTCCGGTATAAAGAAACTAGCGATCCATTCATCTGAGTTTGAGTTTGTGTTTGCGTTTTCGGGCTTTTATAGAGGCTTTTTTTCTTAATGAGATTCTATTAAGAAACTAACATGGAACTTTGTAGTGTAAATTAGTTAGGTTTAGGGGTTTGTTTAGTACCATTTGATAAGAAGGAGACCGAGGATGGGTGATGGTGTTTATGTCAGCAGTTAATTGCAGTAAAAACTCTGAATTCTTCCAACTTAAATATGTAAAGAATGTGCTTTACAACAACATACATATTACATATTTACATGTTTGTTACTTCATTATTATTTTCCATGTTTCTTCTTGAGCAAAAGGTTGATCACCGAATAGCCCGTACGAAACCGGCCCCCTAGGAACCATGTGTGAAGAGGCATTCGGAGATGACTCAACTACTGAGGTTAACAGAGGGGTTCAAGCATGTCTCTTGCAAGAATCCAACTTGAACATGTATATTGAGCAAAGTTGCTCCGCCTTTGTCCAATTGAGTTACACGCTAGAGGGCATTTCCAGTATTTCTTAACGAGCAGTTAATGATTTTGTAGTTTCTTAGAGCATCTTCAATGCAATGTTCTTATAAGCAAAAAGAATGTAGCTTCTTACAAGAATCAATATTGTGGAGAGTTTTTATAAAAACATCTTTCTCTTTGTCTTTGAGTTCTTGTACAAGAACCTGAATTCTTTCCTAAGTCGGTGTGAAACGACAATTTACTAGATTTTAAATTAAATATTGGGTATTTATTCACAAATATATAATAATTATTGATATTTAAAATACACATGAGACCCATAAAAAAGGTTCTTAAAAGGGGGTCGCCAACCCAAACACTAAAAATGGTGCTAAAAGAGTCCAACTCCAACGGCACATAAAAAAAAACATTAAAAACATTTTTAATAATAAAATAATATATATGCATTTATTATTATAATCTATTAAACTATAATCTATATATATAATCAGAAAAGTTGAATAAAATATTAAAATATATTAAAGGTCTACTTTATTGACCTCCAAATATAGATGTTAACATTTTGGATCTTTATTTTTTTAGTGTTTTAGTGTTGAGTTGAAGATAAAAACACCTCTATTTTTGTGTTTTTAGTGTTAGGTTGGAGATGGTTTAAGCACTATCATTTTGTATTTTTGATGTAAGTTTTTAATTTGATGAGTTTAAAGTAACGTGACAATAAAAAATAGATTCATATAAGAACCTCAATTGAACATGCTTATATTTGATAGATATCTGCAACGCGGTTTATTTTGATGAGTATAGCACAACACCCAACTTTCAACATCTTGTTAAAAAAATTGGAGGAAATAAGGAAAGGGATTACACATTAACAGTAAGTATTTCACCTTATGTACGGAAAATAAGAGAAAACAAGTGCTATACTCTGTAACTAGTGGGGGGCCAACCTCCAAAAGTTAGGGGGAACTGTTCGCGGTAAAAATTGAATATAACTTTGCAAAACACGAAATTGAAGTATGGATGGTAGGATATGCAAAATCAGAAAAATACATTAATGAGCAGAACAATCCAAATACCCTCTACTCATTTTTGGTCTAATCTTCTTATTAATTTTATACATGGTTACGTGCCAAATCTGTGTGGTGTCGGTTTTTTTTTTTTTTTTTGAATCTACCACTGTTTATAACGATTTTACATTTTATGTATTTATTTTACATCAAAAGGAAAATTTTATGCCTACACAAGTAAATAAATAAGTAACCAATTGAACTAAAGGGCTCTTTGGTTTAGAAAAGTAAAAAATAGAATAAACTTTCTTTTCTTCTAATTTAATCTGAAATGAAAATTTAGAATTGGAGGAATGAACCAATATATATATATATATATATATATATATAGAGAGAGAGAGAGAGAGAGAGAGAGTTTGTTTCAAATATAACTTATTACATTTATACAATCAATGCAACCCAATAAATTGAAATATTTATGAAAAATGATGAGAATTCATTTATTATGATTTAAATCATGTATATATATTAAAAGAAGAACCAAGAGTATTAAGGTGGCATCATGAGAATTGAGTATTGAGGTGTTGATGAATTGTAGTTGAGTTTGAGGTATCTCATATTGGTGAGAGATTGAAAAATTGAAATAAGAAGGTGTGTATAAGAAAGAATGATGAGAGTCATTGTTTAAACTCATGAGACTTGACTCATAAGGCTATCTTATTTGGATGACTCTAGCTTTTTAAAACAAATTTTATATTGTGTCAACTCATTAGGTTTGAGTCATAAGGTTATCTTATTTAGATGACCCTATTTTTTCAAAACAAATCTTATATATATATATATATATATATTAAAAGAAGAACCAAGAGGTAATTAGGTGCATCATGAGAATTAAGTCTTGAAGTGTTGGTGAATTGTAGTTGAGTTTGAGATATCCACTTTGATGAAAAATTGAAGATTGGAATAAAGAGACGTGTATAAAATAATGATGAAATTCATTGCATCGACTCAAGAGGCTTAACTTATAAAGTTAACTTATTTTGATGACTCTCTTTTGCAAAACAAATCCTATGTTTTTTTAAATAAATTGTGTTTACAATCATCAATATATATATATATATATATATCATATATATATATGTGTGTGTGTGTGTATCAATCTTCTTTATATATAAAAGTAAGATCCACAAGAAATGATGTGGCACCCTAAGAATTGAGTATTCTATATTTCTTGCATAGAGATTGAGTTTTGTGTATTCCACATTGATGAAGAGATGAAATATTGACAATTGATGGTAGGTATATGAGATGAGGTTGATGTGTCTTTGTTTTAACTCATGGGGTTTGATTCTCTTGGTTAATCCTATAAACTCATATCATTAGCTCATGTTGGCTAACCCTCCAAACTCATGGGTTTGGTTCATTTTGGCCAACCCTTTGTTTGCAAAGAAGTCATCTTTATAAAAAAAAATCTTTATATATATAGGGTTCTCTCTCTATATAAGTAAGATTCACAAGAAATGATGTGTCACTCTAAGGATTGAGTATTATATATTTCTTGCATTGAGGTTGAGTTTGTGTATCCCACATTGATGGAGATACGAAAGATCGACAGTTGATGGTAGGTATATAAGAAGAGGTTGATGTGTCTTTATTTTAACTCACGGGATTGGGTTCTCTTGGTTAATCATATAAATTCATATCACCGGTTCATGTTGGCTAACCCTCTAAATTCATGGGGTTTGTTCATTTTGACGAACCCTCTATTTGCAAAAAAGTTGTCTATATAAAAAAAATCAATATACCAATACAAAAGAAAGCTATAAAATAATAAGGTGGCATCATTAAAACCAAATATTTTAAATTTCTTGCATTGTGGTTGGATTTTGGGTATCCACATTGATTATAAATTGATACGTCAATGAGCAAAATGAGTTTATAAGAGAAATATGAGTTCCCTTTGGAATTAAAAGGTTCATTTGGCTATATAAGTCATGTTTATCTTTAAACGTTTGGAGCAATTGTCTAAATTCACGAGCAATTGTCTAAACTCGTGTGATTGGATCATTTTGACTGAACTTTTAAACATATGTGAATAAAGTTTATTAATTATGATCAATACTTTATATTAGAAAACAATTAAAACTTTTATGAAATTACATATTCATCAAATTAAATGGACGGTTGAGATTGAGTTGTATTGATTGTACAAATGTAAGAGGTTGTATAATAACTCATCTCTATATATCTATATATAGGGTATATTTCAAATGCAACCATGTCCATTTGTACAACTAATACAACCCAATCAATTGAGATATTTATGAATATGATGAGAGTTCATTTATTATGATTTGAATATTTATAGAAGATGAATAGAGTTCACTAATTATGATTAATACTCTATTAGAAAACAATCAAAACTTCTATGGAATCACATATTCATCAAATTAAATAGACGATCGAGATTGAGTTGTATTGGTTGTACAAATATAAAATGTTGTATAATAACCCACATCTCTCTCTCTCTCTCTATATATATATATATATATATATATATATATATATAATGAACAATTTCTTTTATTCTCAATCACATTGATTACTACTCGATACATCTAACCAAACACCCCCCTAACATATATAAAGAAAAGATAAAATTTCCATCTTCATGTTCAATTCTCCCCGTTTTCTAGTTTTCCAATTTTAACCATGCTTCATTTTTCCTTTTCAGATAATAATATTAGTTTTAGTTATTTTTAATCAACAGTCGATCATATATTTTAATAATTTCCAACTTTCTTTTACGAAAGTAACTTCCGAACTACCACATATGGGAACAGTCTCTATAACCTCGTGAACACATACTTCTACGAAGATTTTCACCATATTTTCTCTTTTTCAACTAGTATCGGTCTTTTTTATTTGATTAGGTGATTTGTTCCATAGAAAAATAGATGGAAACAAGATAAAAAGTTGATTACCAACAATCCCACTAAATATGTTTCACACTGAACAGACAGAAAGAAGTATACGAAACAGAAAATAATTGAATGAAAATAATTAAAATTTGTCGTGATATGCATCCCATTATTTGCGTAGGTTGGCAATTGGATAGACGTACGATATTTGTCAATAATGGATATTGGTTACGTAATTTGTCTGGCTTTATGTTTATATTATTTAGATTTTACTTTTTTGTTGATTTGATTTTGATTCAAAGAGAACGGCAAGAAAAATTGACAACGAAGAATAAGGTAAAGAAAACGAGAGAGATGATGTCAACGAGAGAAGAGAAAATGACAAAAATATCCTGAGAATATGGTCGTGCAAGGACATCTATATTTAATAAACTCGAGTACATGTCACTATTAGTTTATAGTTATTGAGTATATTATTCAAACCCCGATAGCCGATGTTAAATATTTTAGTGGCAAAAGTTATATATTTTAAGGGATTAATAAAATGAGAATCATAAAAAGATTGAGAACAACGAGAACTAGTTTTCATGTATCGTTTGTGAAACAACACATGTGAAAATGAAATGTTAAAGTTAACAATGGGTTTGTTTTAAAAAAAATTAGATAAACAGTAAAATATTAAATAAATATTTATCTTTTCTTAAAATATTAATAAAAAAACTAAAATACTTGAACTTTTAGAATAATATTCATAATCAAATGACAAGAAAGATGATGAAAATTAACCATAAGGGTTGTGTCTGATTGGTTTGAGTTTGACTCCAAAGATCAAAAGTATCAAGAGATTACATGTTCAAATCCAAAGAAGAATAAAAATTCCCTTATAGTCATGGAGGTTTAAATGCAATGACTTTACGGATTGGATATCTAAGTTAATAAAAAAAATTGATACAATTTAACTATTTATGAAAACAACTATACTATAACCAACTTTTTACATTTATTATGAAAAAGCATTCAAGGATTTTTCTAATGAGAAAGTTTGAACTTAAAAAGAAAATGTTAAACCCATATCGTTAAGCTACTGCAAGTTCCAGTCCAGCTGTGGCATCTTCTCTTGAAATTCTGGCCATCATCAACAATCTTTCCTAAACATTAACAAATCTTTCACTGCGATCTTTCTTGTTCGATTTCTTGCTCTTTTCGACTTCAATCAGCCGCCATGTAAGGGGCTGAATTAAAGATCTGGAGTTTTGAGTCAAAAATTAGGTTTTCTTGCAATCAAATACTAAATAGCAAAATGAGTGTTTCTCTGACTGTAATGACCTTCAATCTTCTTGAAGATCAGCCAGAAGATGGCCCAAATTGTTGGGAAAAGAGGAAAGATTTGTGTGTTAGTGTTATCACTAGTTACTCCCCAATCATCCTCTGTACTCAACAAGGTAAGTTCTTCTGTTTTTGTATGCAGATCTTTAAGAAACCTGTTTTGTTGATTCATTTGATTTGGAAAAGGATTATCTGGGTCTTGATTGATTTGTGTTTTGGATATTGGGTTTGTTTTCTTTTTGTTGAAATATACTGATTTTGTTTTGGATTTTTGCTACTGAAATTGGAAACTTTCCTTTTTTGTTGTTATGTTCATAGGTGTGAAGTCTCAATTGGAATATCTTCAACAATGCTTGCCAGGTAATGCTTCTGGTTACATTTTTGTCACTGTTTTATTCTAAGATTGGTTGTTACTGCAAATGCTTATGATTCTGTTCATTTGGTTGTTACTCTGATTTATTGAAATCAAGCCCCCTTTTATAGCTTAAACATTTAAATCATCATTAAGCTCTAACTATGATGCTCTCATTACATTCTTGACTGAACAGTTAAGACTTTATAAAGTAAGCAATTGTGAATGAATAAACTTCCATTCAATTGGTTCAACAGAGCTTAATGAAGATGATGCTCAAAGTTACTTGAGCTACTTTTCCTGTAATAAGCTTTACTTCTCTTCAAATCTTTAAGGCAACATAAACCCATCTTTATCTCGTGATCTTTAAGAACCTTCGTCATCAATGGTTCCTTGATTTGGATTAGAACTCCAAAGATCCTTAGGCCTCTTGCTAGCGTTTGAACTCACTCCTTTCTCTGTGTTTTAGAGTCCTTATATTTCTTGAAGTGATACTACAAAGAAGAGACTTCATCATACTTATACTATGAAAATTTCATCAAAATGGAGGCGGGGAGGGACTATCCGCTTTGCAGCAGGATTTTACTTGAGGTTTCCGTTATAGGAGAGCTGACATTTTCTACCCATATCCAAGGGATGCGTAAATCTACATTCATCTGCATACACAGCTGCTGATTCAACATCTATATGATTGCTTTTCATCCTTTCTTGCTACAACCATGATGTTCATTTCTTCTTTTCTGCTCCATGTTTCTTCTTTTGGTTAGTCGACTTTGTTTTTAGACAGTTCAACAGACAGATTTGCAGCATATGTCTGTTTCATTCATTCTTGCTAGGGTCATCATTCCTCCTTCCTCAGGTCTCCTCTTTTGGGGATGTTTTTTGTCCTTAAGTCATCCCTAGCTTTGCATAACTTCTTCTTCTGAGCCCAACTTCTAGTTAAGATCATTAAACCAAACAAACCCATTAAATCCATCCGAAAGTAGAGTCATGTGCACAGACCTTTCATCTGTCTCAAGAAGCATATAGTTTGTTACCAAAAAGGAAACAGTAAAACAAACATGAAAGATATGGGTTCTTAAACCAGGAAGCTGGACTTTAGGCAGCCATCCGTGTGTTTATGAATGAATTCTTCCTACAAATAGGTCTATTGTATATGCAAACCTCATGCCTGCCCCCAACCCCATGTTCATATAAGGGCCAGGCTGCGGGGCTCCTCCCATATGATTTGGTTCGAGTCTTCTTAGGACCATTGAGGATTTCCTAGCTGTTATCTTCAAGGCCCCATGGATTAGTATGAAGACGTAATTGTAGTTCCGTTTTCATTTGTTATAGACTACTAACATCCTAACCTTCACTAAAAAGGGATGATTTTTGTTAAACATACCAGGCTATGATCAATTCGGGATTTCAAGGAAAGGATCCGAAGATGTTTCAGATCAACATTGCACCATTTTCTACGACAAAGAGAAGGTAATTCATCGGCCATGCATTCCACAAATGGCTTAAATCCATTTTTCTTATTCATAGTTATTGAGTTCTTCTCTTATATATATTCCTTTATCGAAGGTCGAGTTATTAGAAGGCGGAACATTTTGGTTGTCAGAGTCACCTTCCGTACCTGGAAGTATGTCGTGGGGGGGCGTATCCCCATGCATTGCTACATGGGCGATATCCTTTTTCCGAGCATATATGTAGTTACCGTTAAATGTTAGAAGATATTTAAGTAAATATTCTTGTGGAGTTTTGTCGTTTCTTTAACAAAATCTCTACACGTTTCAACTGAAAGGAGTTGAGGCGCCTGGTTTTTCGTTCCAAATAGTGAACACAAACATGGATGAGTTCAGTCCTCGTGCTCGTAGGCGAAGTGCGTTGCTGACATGGCAGCATATCGCATCATTACCCCCTAGCTTACCTGTTGCATATTGTGGAGGTTTTAATACACAAAAAGAATCAACCACCGGACGGTTTCTTCTTGGGAGATCAAGGTAATTGTACACCCTTTGTTCCAAATAGAGGTACAGTTTGACTTCGAGGTTTAATTGTACTAATTTCTTGCTTCGGATTTGGTATCTGTTGTCCAAAGTTCTTGGAAAAATGTTGGCAACAATATCGTACTAGCTAAGGTTTCCACCTTGGCTTTTGAGTTTGACCTTAAAAGTCAAAAGTGTACCTTTTAACTAGGACTATGATCTGCAACCATAAACTCGTTTATTTTTTGAGTTTATTGAAAAAGCCTCGTTTAGTTAGCCATAAGCTAGCCTTTTCTACAAGGGGAATTTTTCCAATTATGTGTCTGGGTTGGGTTCCAGTGAGAATGAAAGTTATGACGAGAAGGGTAAGAAGGGATCTCCACCCTTGGATCAATCCTAATTGAAGAGTAACACTAGATCAACACTAATGAGATATACCAGATCAATTCTCTTCTGAAACGTAATTCATGGGTTGGTTTAAGATTAAAAGTGATCAAAGGTCCAAATCCCTTCTTACACTTCTAAGCTTAACTTATATTCTCGCTTGATCCTTTGTCTTATGTCTCTTATATTTTTCCAAATAAAATTTTAACATGTCCTCTTAGGTCGTTTTATGTTGTCATATACCTTATGGGCTAGTTTTACGAAACACGACTAGCTTATCAGCTAGTTTGCTAAACATAGCCAAAGGTACCGACCTTTTTCTGTTTTTGTCTAAATCACTGGCTTTTCAGAGAGCACGGTGTCGTAGGTGATATGAGAGATGCGTGGCCCAACGCTCGGTTAAGGAAAAATATGTCTCTTATACGCACGTATCATGGATTTAAAGGTATTGCTTTTCCTTATAAGTTAGTATAAATGATTTAAAGCATTGAAACCGACTGAAGTTAGTTGGTTTGGTTCAAACGGTCATGGTTAGAGGAATATACCGGTTCTGATGAAAACCGAAAGCGCTTATGCTCTTACGATTGCTTCGGTAAACTTGTTTTTTTGTGGGGGGCCTGTGGTAGGTAACAAACAAGGAGCAGTTGAGTTCTTGAAGTTGATTTTTCGGGCACTTTGCCTGTGCTGGGATCGGCAAACTCAAGATTTGCACATAGACTGGATCTTGTTCCGAGGCCGATCGCTCATCCCCGTCTCGTGTGAAGTGGTGAGCGATAACATCGATGGCCATTACCCGTCTTCCAATTATCCCATCTTTGCTGAATTCATGCTTCCACGAACAGTCCGGCTGCTCGATCCACCACCCGCCGAAGAGATGGTTCCATAATGTTTGTTTCTTTTATGTTCTGCAAGTTATTTGTACAACAATTCTTGCAAATAGTATGCTATGCGATTTAATTGAATTCTCGTCTCCATTTTGAGTCTTTTTCTCTTCAAAACTTCAAAACGCCATTGTTGACTAAATTTCAGATTTTGAAGTTATTTTATTTTTATATAATTGTGAAAAGTATGAGATAAAACTGGTTTAAGAAATATTCTAAATCATAGCAGTTTTGCATGAAGAGTCTCGGACCATAAAATATGGTCTAATCTGATCGGTTTGTAGCGTTTGCATTTATAAACTAAGGGATCGTTTACCAAACATTTATTCGATGAGCATTTATCGGTAAAATTTAATACTATCATTTATTTACTGGGTAAGATTTTTGTCCATCAAAACGGTATTATATGCAACAATTTATCCGATAAGCTCTTACCGTGGTAAGAGTCGTCCCTCTCACTTACAGGGTAAGACTCTTGGTTCTTGTCTCGCTCTTACCAGTTAAGATTCTCTACACTTACCATATTCATCTAGTAAGGTAATTTGATTTGGTGTTCACTTATCCGAGTAAGCGTTGTGTAAACGACCCTAAGAAATAATAATTTTAAAATTTTGTGCCGAAAAGGGGAAATTTTAGATCAAAACTGAAGGTAGTTTGATAAACCTTGAACAACGGTGTCATGTTAATGTAGATGGTAGGTCTATAATACCATTTAATGTGATAAAAACATTGATATCATAAACTCTAATGTTGTGTTTGGTACATGAGACATGATAGAATGGGACAAAACTCATTGTCCCATGTTTGATGCGACATAGAACAGAACAAGAACTCATTATCCCATGTTTGGTGCGACAGGGAACTAGGACAAGGTGGGATAAAAAAATGCTTTTTTTTGTTCCACCAAAATAAATGAAATAAGATGGGACAAAAATGAGACATAAACTAAAATATTACTAAATTAACTCTCATTTGATATATAACCTCAACATAGTATTTGTTTTATGGTCACCACCGTTAGTTGCGGCCGCCACCACCGGTAGTTGCGACCGCCACCACCACCAGTAGCCACCATCGGCGACCTCCCTCTCCTCCACCACCTCCACTACCACTATTGGCCACCTCCACCTTCTCATCTACTACAACCTCCTCCATAACCACCGCCGTCCATTACCACCACCACTACCAGCCTTAACCACCTCCACCTTCTCTTCTACTACAACCTCCATCACCACCTCCACAACCATCGTCGGCCATCGATCAACACCGTTCATCGCCACCACCATGGGACACCTCACCTCCACCATCGGTTACCACCACCACTGCCCACCACCACCGGCGGCTACCACTACCACTGTTGGCCACCACTATCAGCTACCACTACTATTATCTACCATATTCATGTCCTCCACAACCACAATTGTCCATCTTCACCACCACCTCCACCACCACAATTGTCCATCTTCACCACCACCTCCACCATAACCACCGACACTACCCACAATCACACCTACCTCCACCGTATAGTGTTGGAAATTGTAGTGAGTTGGAAGTTTGTCTTCCATCCCACATTGGTAGATAAAGAAAAATTAGAGAAGTTTACAAGGCTTCCACTACAATTGGGTTTTGAACAAATGGATAGACTCATGGTGGGGGTCTTGAGTGGAAGGCCAACACGCACATAGCGCCAAGAGCGCTGGCCCAGGATTCGGGAAAGTGGCGCGAGGAGGCACATTTTACACTGTGCATGCAACGTCGAGAGAGATGAAAGATTGATTTTAAAATCGGTTTTTAAACCAATTTAAACACKTTTTTTGGGGATAATTATTGTTGGAGGATTATCCTCCAACTACATCAGTTTTTAAACCAATTTAAACACGTTTTTTGGGGATAATTATTGTTGGAGGATTATCCTCCAACTACCCAATGATCATCCAAAAAATGGGATGAAATTGTGGGCTTTTAGGGTTTCACCACCAGAAAATTCAGTTTTCCCTCTCTGCGATTTATGCTTCCATTCGTTCTTTCTCTCTACCAGTTTCTGCGTCCACCTTGTTTTAGTTTTCATTTTCGTTTTCATCGTTGTTGATAAATGAAAGCGTGTATTGCATCAAATACTGGGGCTTTACGACTAGCAAACTCACAACGTTAAAAGAGTAGTCGTATAAAACCTATAATGACAGCCTTTACTGTGCAGATTACGATTCAACGACAAATTAATCAGGTTGGTTTTAGATTTCATGCATTGTATTTAATTTTTGTTCATTAAGTGAACAACTTTGTTTCTATTCCTTTCTTTCGTTGAATCTATCGTGGATGATAGATTCAATCTGTGTGAAATTGGTCATTTTTGAGGTGTTGTAGATTCCGGACATAAAAAGTTACATTTCTTGTTTATAAAATTTAATTATTGAATTAAATAATTAAACTTGTTTGTAAAGGTTCAAACTTTATTGATTTCATCTATCTCATTCTACTTATTTTTTTCAACAACCTTAAAGGTTTTATAGTAATAGACACCGGAAACTATCGAATCCTAAATCAAGATATGATGAAACTCAAGAAGTTTGACGGGTCTAGTTATACTTGTTGGGCGGACAAAGTCAAATTCATGTTGATGGTTGTAAAACTCTACTATGTTTTGGACCCTAACCTCCCTCCTATTCCCAAAAATCTGGTTCCTGAACTAGGGAAATAACCGGATAAACAAAGAATTGACGATCTCGAAAAACTGAGACTAATCCGCAAGGAAGAGAAAACCCTTGTTTGCGGACATATGAAAAATGTTTTGTCAGATCATCTATATGATCTGTATTCCCCGATTACATACCCAAGAGAGTTGTGGAAGGCACTGGAATTCAAATATAAGTCACAAGAAGATGACATTAACAAATATTTTGTGTCTCAATATTTGAAATTTCAAATGGTTGATGAAAAACCAAATCTGGAGCAAGTACATGAGCTCCAAGTTTTAGTAAGCAAACTGAAGTTATTATCTATTGTTATTCCTGAAATTTTCCAAGTGGGGGCAGTCATAGATAAATTGCCTACATCTTGGAAAGATTTTTCTAAAAGAATGATGCATAAAACCGAAGATTATTCTTTGGATGATTTACTAAACCATCTTCAAATCGAGGAAGAGGCACGTAATCGGGATAAGAGAGACAAGACTTTGATGAATGCTAATAGCATGCAGCCTGGAGGCAAGGGTAAGGGAAGAGCCGGGGGTCCAAATAAAAAGTGAAACTTGGGTCCACAAAAGAAGAGTTTTAAGATATCTGGTCATCAACCGAACCCAGGGCAGCAATCTAAAAGGGTTGGAAAGTGTCACGTCTGCGGAGAGACGGGACATTACGCTCGTGAGTGCAAACACAGAAAGTTCGGACCGCCTGCTGCTAATTCTATTGAGGAGATTCAACACCTTGTGGCGAATCTCCACATGGAAGAGATTGATATGATCTCAGAGGCCTCTACAAGGATTGTGGTTGGAAGAGGGGGTTGGTACTTGGATTCTGGAGCCACTGTTCATGTTTGTGATTCCAGGTCTAAGTTTGTTGAATATGGACCAGTTCGATATGGGAAACAAGTGACAGTTGCTAACAACGGCCATGTTGATGTCGTTGGAATGGGTACCGTGCTACTGAAGTTCACTTCCGGCAAGACCCTCACTCTCTGAAATGTTCTTCATGTGCCTTCTATAGAGCCTCATCTTTGCAAGCAAACTCGATGAAAATGAGTTTGGAATAAATATTAAGGCAAGGAAGCTCGTGATATACAAGAGGAAGACTTTAATTGGAAAAAAGATACTACCAGCTGGGTATGTATCGCCTGAATCTGAGTATGGTAATGATGAAGTCGGACATAGTGAGTTAGTAGGAGTGATGTTTTAGCCATGTCCGATGAAGTTTCTAATTTTTCTGTTTCCACTATTGAAACTGATGTAATTCCCAATGTTATTAATAAAGTTAATTCTTTGGACTATTTTGTTTGTTCTATTTCTTTATGGCATAAACGTCTTGCACATACAAATGTAAGAAATATTGAAAAAAATGCATAATGAAGGATTAATCAAAATTGATAATAAAGATTTTGGAAAATGTGAAACTTGTGTAAAATCAAAATTTAAAAAGAAACCTTTTCCATCTGTTAAACGGGGCACATCAATTTTAGAGTTGATTCATTCTGATATTTGTGAATTAAATGGAATACTTACCTGAGGAGGTAAAACGTATTTTATTACTTTATGTGATGACTTCAGTTGGTGTTTACATGTTTATTTGTTACAATCAAAAGATGAAGCTTTTGAAGTCTTTAAACTCTATAAAGCTGAAGTCGAAAATCAACTTGAAAAACGAATCAAAATACTTCGATCAAATAGAGGTGGTGAATACTTAATTAGAGAATTCGATACATTCTGTGAAGAGAATGATATCAAACATGAACGGACCTCACCATTTACTTCTCAGCAAAATGGTTTGGCAGAACGAAAGAACCGAACCCTTGTTAAAATCGCCAACTATATGTTGAAGCAATCGGGATTGCCTAACAATCTCTGGGGAGAAGCCCTGCTAACGGCTTGTCATATTCATAATCGAATCACTAGTCGTGTGATTCTAACCTTCCCATATGAGCTCTGAAGAGGATGGAAACCAAACTTGAACTACCTTAGAGTTTGGGGCTGTATTGCATACTATCGAACCCCTGATCCAAAAAGTTCTAAATTGGGATCCCGTGTTGTTAAGAGCATATTCGTTAGATATGCGATAAAATAGCAAGGCTTATAGATTATTGGACAAAGAGTCAGGAGTTATAGTAGAATCCATGGATGTGGAATTCTTTAAAGATAGATTTTCAGAAGATGTTGAAAGATCAAAACCAACGTTGGCCTCTAATCCCTCTTGTTCATCTCGTGATAGTTCCAAAACCACAAATAAGTTCGACGGACCACGAAGAAGCACAAGAGTGAGAAAAGAGAAAAATCTCGGAAATGGTTTCTTCTCGCACTTGGTAGAAGGGACACAAAAGAAAGTGACAAGAGATGTCATTTTCTCTATTAGTACTGAAGAGGATCCCGAGAC